AGCCATGTGATTGGCCCATTAGGCCAAGACCACAAGTCAGGTGGTCATTATACTAAGATCAGGGCACCCTCCTGCAATACATACATCTGTTAACATCAAGGCATGGCAGACGAGGGGGAGGCAGATTGCCCTTAGAGCAGGGTAAGTAAAAAAGAATTGGGGTACCCCATGACACACAGCTTTCACTGAACATCTGTCAGAAGCCTAAGAGACAGTCACGGCCCTGAACATTTTGTGATCTAAATAGGTAAGACAGAAAAAGGAACAGGGTTAATACACTTTCTGAAACTTAAGGCCAGAAGAAACCTCAAATTCAGCTAGTCCAACTCATTTGTATATCAAGCCTTTGGGAATCATCCAGAGTCTCTACAGCAAAATCAAGGAGTCTAATTGCACAAAATTACCTCAATTCTCAAACTAAATGCCTTGGTTAAAGAATGAGACAAACTAAGACTACACCTTCAATGGCAGGGAATTTGTTGGGTGAATTATGATCTGATGCTGCAGAGCAAGGCAAAACCCCTTGTCCATCAGACCAGAGACAAAACTCTTCCCCAAACCTGGAGACCAGACTGAACTTGAGCATGTGAACAGCACACACCAGTCTGTGTACCAACTCAGAAAACTGTCCTGCCCCATCTGCTATCCCATATACAGCCATTAGTCTCTGATAATTCAGGGGAAAGAGGAAGAAGATGAAAGAACTGAAATTGTGCATCATCAAAATAATTCTTTCTTGCCCCATACAGGTGATTGGTTAGAGCCCTAAGGTCTAGGATTTGATTCTAATCTTGAAACAGTGATGAGTTCACCAGATGTTTTACAACTGACAGTAGTTATTTTGTGGCATTTTGTAAGTGGAAGCTGAGATGCTAATGTGACCAGCTCCAAAAGTGTCTATACAAGTTGTACCATAATCCAGTCCTGTGTTCATTTACAGCACATTCTTCAGGAGGAATGTCTCCATCAAGTTTCTAAGTTCACCTGTCTTTGCTATTTCAGAGATCCCCAAGCTGAGAGACAGCATCAGGCAGCTCTACCTGAAGGAGAGGAAGAAGCTGCTAATGAATTATGTGATAGAAGTGTATGTAATTTTCGCACTGGCTCAAAACCTAAGCTCCACAGAAGACCTGAAGGTACAACCCAACCTACTTTAGATACTGTGACTGCTCTCCCATCTAGGATCATGAATAATCCTGCACCTTCTTACTATAGCAGCCTGTCAGCAAACTACCTTCTTACCCTTTCTTCTTTGCTTCTTGGATACAGCAGCCAGCTCCATGGTCTTGAAGCAAACAAATACAAATCTGCTTAAAGATTTAGGGTCATAAGAAAGTCAGAATGGAAGGGACCTCACGAGATCACATCCAGTCCAACCACCTGTGCAAGGCAGGATCGTCCCTGACTAAACCATCCCAGCCAAGTGTCTGTGCAGCCTGCTCTTGAAAACTGCCAGGGATGGAGATTCCACAAGTTTTCTAGGTAGCCTGTAACAATGCTTGACAACCTCAGAGTTGTAAAGTTCCTCCTAATTTTTAAAATAAATTTTCCTG